TTAGAAAGGTCATCAATGAATTCACTTCCAAATTTGGGAAAGTAATCAACATCCACAACCGAATAGAACTACATTCAATAAATATTTTTCAAAATCCTCTTTTCAAGTTTAAACCTTCAGATTAAAGATATACTTTCCATCAGGAATTGTCAATAAACATATGAAAGCATAAAACAAAATGGACTTCGTTTGCCTAATCTGCTCAAAGTTGGCCCCTAGAATTTGTCCAGAAAAACTTCCTTAGTTTCTCTAACTCAACCACAATACCATTTCAGATTTAGTAAACCTAAAGAGAGGCTTATTTGCAAAAGAGACGAATCAATTAAAGAAAAGAGAAAAGATGGCTCACTTGTTACTGGCACTCTCTGCTTTTCTTGCTAACTGCAGCAGCCAGTCATAGCTGAAATGAGAATGACAAGGATTAGTTTGTGCAGTATATAAATTTATTTACTTATTCAGCATAACTGCATCTGTTTAATGCAAAAGTGCATGTTTATTTAAGTGTTTGCTTGCAATATTGATGACAATATTGTTGTAGTCCCTTTCTTCCTTGAAAAGCCAATGATGATTTTCAAGCTCATATGACTCACTTTGAGAGAGGGTCTATTACGTCTAGTAGCGAAAACTTGGCCAAAAAGTAGTTAACAGAGGTTCTAATTTTACACTTTGACATGCATTTTAGATTTTCCTAGAGTTTTACACCATAAACAGAAATTCCAATTTGAACAATTAATTTCTTTACTAGTAAACTACAAAGACATGATCACCTGGAAAAACATCAGCATGTAAATCTTAAAAGAACAAAATAGAAGTCTGAATTTTACTAAACAGACAGAAACCATCAATTTGAGGCAGCACTAAAAATGGGAACATGCCCAAGTCAAAGTATTACCTAAATCAATTAATCTTGGTAACTGCATTCTTTCAAACTTAACCTTAGTCATTTAAAATTAAGTAACAAAGTAAATGTAACAGAGAAAGAGAATCAATGCAGGATTCAAACCACAATATTCAAAATCTAAAAACTCATAAAGTTCCTGATTCATGCCATGGATGTATCATAATATGGAAACCGAATTTGTAATAAGATAATTTTTATAAGATCCAGAAATGAATCAAAAGTAAAGCAAATAAAGCTCCTTAAAATAATGACTGGTGAGCATGAAAACAATTACAGAAGACCTTTGAAAATGTGAGCTAATAGCAAACCTTGACTACATTTAAAGTGAAGCAAAGGCATGACCATATGAATAAATCTGGAAAAGTTAATATCATTGGTTTTACCTTGAGAAACATTAAACCTCTTTAACCAATGAGCACAATCAACAAAAGGCTTTCTACAAGATGAACTCCAGCTTGCTTCACATGCATAAAGAAGAAAAGAAAAAGCAACTTTAACAGAATATAACATATGAAACATCGCAGGATACCTAGAAATACATATCTCCAACATTATTTGGAAAATAACTTCCACTTAATTCCCCCAAAATATTTTTGCATGTAGTGATGAACATTATTTCCTTATGATGGTGACAAGGAAAATACATTTCATAGAGGCAATTTAAGCTAATTTGCAGTATCAATTAATTTATATAAAAGAAAACATTATATGGCATTCCCATGAAGTTCTTCACCGGTGGCTATTGGAACACTTTAGCTACTAATTCTCATTGAAAGCTTTATGTAGACAATTAAAATCATAGCCAGTTTTACAAAAAATAAAATTTTCAAATGCAAAAGCTTATAAATTAACAAAGGCAGCTACAAGATCAAAATTTGAAAGCTTTCATTCAACTACTGAAACAAGTTTTCTTGCAGTCTCATACACAAATCACATAGCAGAGCTAGAATACTGAAATAACAATTCTTAATAGAAAGAAGTTTATTTACTGAATTGTCTCTGAACTTACTAGCCACCAGGGAGACTCTGGAAGACTGGAACTGAAAAAAAGGCCTAGCAGCTGCAGTATACATGGAATGGTTCCTGAAATGACTGAGTACAGAAAAGTCCTTTTCAACTGACTAACAATCGTACCAGGAAATGGAGGTAGGGAAAACAGAATTACCAATCAGAGCCAAGGTACGCCAGGAGACGAAATTTCCAAATAACATACATCACTGACAACCGCAGCATATCATCAACTGAAGTTTTATAAGCATCCAGCTTCAAAACCATCAAATTGAACCCAAAATCTTATTCTCCAACCAATTTATAAATTATACAAATTACAAATTATGAATTATGTAGAATCGGGAGATGAAAATAGATGACCCAGTTGCAAAGGTCAAGGGACTAGAATGAATAATTTGCCAGTATTCAAGAAATATTTCAATAATGGCAAAATAGAATCTGTAATAACATGATTTTTATAAAATCCATTAACGAATGAAAAGTAAAAGAAGCACATAAACTAAAAATGATGACGAAAAAAAAGAGATTTCTTTCTTTGATTTGAACTCTGTGACTAGGGCATCATCAAAAGGATCTTCGAAGGTTGGGATACAAACCTCAACTGAATAAAGATTGAGAGCAAAAATCACCAATGGAGCTAAGATAATGAAATTTAAAAAATTAAAAGAAGAGATTACCGAGTTAATCTAGATTTCTTCATCAACTCGTCCATGAGTTTTAAAAGTAATCCAGATTCAAAAATTTCAATTAATCCAGCTTTCTTCATCAACTCGTCCACGAGTTTCAAAGTTAATCCAGCTTCAAAAGTTTCGCTCAAATTAGATTGGTTTCATCGGTGGAGACTTGGATAAGATCGGAAGAACAAGAAAGTGCATCAATTTTGATAGAACACGGCATCGTCTTTGATAAAACAATACTTCAGGTGCTATTGCTGCTTCTCGTCATCGCTATTAATTGTAAAAACATCCAGTGTCAATCTGCTAAAGGATTAAGTAATTACCTGTTTGATGAGAAATGGAGAGATAGAATGAGAAATTAGGGATGAGCAGAGGCAAAATTGAAAGTTTTGGAAGAGAAATTTGAGGCATAGAGTTCTAATTAGATATATACAATATCTAATAATTTCTTGAGCTTAAAATTTTTCTTTTCTACTTTCTAGGCTCTTTAGATTTATAATTCTTACTTATTTGATGATTCTTTCTCTTACTTGGTTGATGATTTTTTTTGGTAATCTATATCATAAGCTGCAAAATTATACATTATTTTGTGTTCTTAAATCATGTGCTAAAATAGGTGAGTTTCTCTTTTCTTTTTCTTTTTTACTAAAAGTGGTATTCAAAATTAAGAGATAGTTAGAAACTTTAAATAGTGAATTCCAAATCAACTTGCGTTTAAGGATAGGTTAGAATAAAATGCTAAGAAATAACTGGTGGAACTATTCTACCAAATGGGGTAATAAACTCGTGTTTAAGGTTAGAAAATATTTATTTATTGAATCATTTTTTCATGCTCGAAAGAAAAAGTTGGGCCTACTGTAAAAGTTTAAAAACTATAATCCATTTCTTAAATTACACTTTTTTATGAAGAAACTTTATCCTTTTGCAAAAAAAAAAAAAATGTTTCCATGGGGACCCTTATATATATATATATATATATATATATATATATATATATATATATATATATATATATATATATATTTTCAAAACAGAAAGACCCTCTAACCATTTTAACTAAAGAAACAACCGGGCAGCAGCTTGCAGCAAAGCGCAAGGTTACATTGCCCACTCACCACTGATCTTAATTTGTGAAGCGGTCTTCATTTCCATGCAATAATTTTTTTGTTAGTAAGAGGAGTTAATTTTAATTTGACGGTGCTAATTTGAATGTAATATATTTTGTACAATCGGACAGTTAACCAGAAGCCAGCCTGATATCTATGAATTTTGCTCGCCAAAGGAAACGCACACCTGAAGAAGGAAAGTAAAGTAAATGCACACAAACCACTCCAAAAAGTTTCTTGCCCCACCATCAATACCAAATGCCTTCAAAGTTGATGAAAATTTTCAGCAGAACCACTGACCAGCAGGAATTGCTGACTGCCACAATTGTCCGCGTGAAATTTCAGAAAAACTACTCCCACCCATTAGCAAAAGACCAAAACGCCCTTCAAAGTCACAACAATAACGGCATAACTGGCTCATTCTGCACTGTTCATAAGCGATCCGCTTTATATATATAAGATTTCCAACCCCATTTTTGCACTCCTGAGCACTTCTCGTAGCCGGCATTTCCACAACCCCTCCTGCAAACTTTTTAGCAAAGTCAAGAGAGGACACAATTACAGTAGGGAGACATTGGGACTTTGATTTCACCCATCAAGTATGGATTTGACAAAAGATCCACTCCCAATTTGCAGTGAAAACAAAGTCAACTTTGATCATGTGCAGGCATCCCGAATCCCCTCTTCCCAACTCAAGCTCCAGTTCCTAGACGTATTATTCAACCCCAAGTACACCATAGGTGCAGATCAATTCTTGAAGAGTTCGAATAATTCAGTGTATCTTTCAGCTTCCATTACAGATAGCTCCACCATCACATTGCACTACGAAGACTACGAGGGCCATCACGCAGTCTTTAGTGAAGAAGGTATAAAAACTCTTAGGTGTATTGCAGCAACGTTGAGCTCCAGAAATGAAGTGGCTGATTGTGTTCAGATGTATACCGAGCATCGAAAGGATGTAGTCAACCTGGTATATGTGAGGCTTCGTGAGAAATTGAAGATAGAGATCGTCTGTGTTTTTATGTGCTCGGATGAGTTGAGTGAGAAAACCCAACAGTGGATACAAGTAGCCAAGATTTACGTAGGCACCATTTTTGGAATAGAGAAGTGTTTCTATGAGCAAATTTTTGGAGATCTGGGATCATCTGAGGATTCTGCTGCTAACGGTTTTGTGTACATAATAAAAGGGACTGCTGCTGAGTTGCTTGTGTTTCCGGACTCTCTATTAGCCAGGGCCGATTGCCCCAGAGATCAGACATTTTGTTGCCCTTATATCATGAGCTAGCCAATCTAATTCCACATCTTATGGCATATTTTGACCAAGATGTATGCCCAACAAAAGCCATCTGCAATTTTGCCACTAAGATTATGCTCCGACTGAAACAGCAAATGACAAATATCCTTTCTACTACAGAGAAACAGGTTCTTCGTGAGCTTTCAACGAGGCCATTTCCTGGAGGAGGAATTCACCCCTTGACTAAGTACATAATTCATTACATTGAGTTGATTTACGTTCACGTGGAATCCTTAACTGAGCTGGTGGCTAGACCCCAAGGTTCCAATGACGACCGAGATCCTCCAGAAGTACCGGGTTCACAAGAAATGGACAAAGGGCTAATTCCCCTAAAGAGCCATCTTGCTCGAGTTATCGAGTTTTTACTGTATAACTTGAAATTCAAGTCCAACTTCTATGGACAAGAATCTCTGCGTTGTTTGTTCATGATGAACAATGTTAGCTCTGTTTCTGAGATGATTAAAAGTTCCAAGGAGTTGGAAGAACTTATTGGCACTCACCTGCAGATGAAATTAAGAGAAAAAGTGGAGCTGGCAAAGACTGATTATTTCCATAGAAGTTGGGGCGAAGTCTGCACTGTTTTAAAAGGTGAAGGATTAAAATTACATTTTAATTGTGATTTCTTTCCTGGAAGGTCTACAAGAGCTGTGAAAAAAAAGTTTAAGACCTTCAATAGTATGTTTGAAGATATTCTTCAGACTCAAGAACGATGGATAGTACCAGATCAGCAGCTGCGGATGAAACTTCTTGAATGCATATTGGCTAAGCTGATTCCGGCCTATAATCACTTTCTTGAGCGGCTAAGCCGAGTACACAAAGTGAAGCGTGTGAGTGAGTACATAAAATATTCTGTCAAGGACTTGGAGACCAAGGTGCTAGATATGTTTCAGAATAAATATTGAAGATTTGGTTATTAATACTTCAACTCTATTAGATGTCAGTTTGAACAGGTTATATGTATTAGCTATCGCAATGTACTTCTCACCAAATAAAAATCCTTCAATCGTATGTGTACTGTTTATGAATGAGAATCCACTATATGTTTTTACTAGACTGTAAAGTGAGGATGGATTTCTGTTCTCCGGGAGGATAGAGGGGGAGGAAGAGGAAGAGGGAAGAGGAGGAGGCAAGAAGTAGGAGAAGGGAGAGGGAGCAGAGAGAAAAAAAAGAGGGGGTGGTGACAGTAAAGCAGTGAGGAGCGAACAAGGGTGGTGGTGGTGGTAGGTGAGAGATGAAAGAATTTGTATTTTTTTATTTATTTATTGTTATGTGTATTTGAGATTACGTGTATTTTTAGAATATGTTATTGTAAACTCCAAATACAAAAGCTAATTTTTTGAAAAAAACTCTCGACCCAAGTTCGAGTCCTAGTTTTTTTTTTCTGGTTCTTCAACACCTCCACTTCCTCTTAAGCCTATATGATCAAAGTATCTAAATCAACACGTGAATCCTAGAAGTTATGAGCATCAAAATATTTGCTGAAAGTTCTGCGATTTATATTATTTCTCCTTATTTTCCTCTTTTCTTCCTAGAACTTTTTTGCTGTCTTTCACTTTCTCTCTATTGCACTTCACAACGAACAATTGCCTATCGATCGAGTGGGTTCAAGCTTTTATGAGATTAATATTTGACCGTAGCACCCTCAATTCATACCTTTTCAAACAAATAGTTGCGTGTTGATAAGGGTATGGGTTCGTAGGACCAACGAGTTTCATTTTATTCGATCAAGGACATCTACAATCGTCAGTCGGAATTGCATTGGTAAGTGTATACCAAAATGACAAATATGGATATTAAAACATAGATTAATTTTTTTTATATACTGACATTTTAAACATTTTTTGAATTTGAATTTGAAACTCAAATTTTACATATATATCGTATATCCAACCGTAATAGTATGTCAGTGTATATAAGATTTACTCTAATAACACTTGGATACAAATTTTAGTAAGTAAATAAATTTGTCATGTTTTTCCATGTTGTTGTGTTAGCATTACTTATTATTTTAGTGTTTACATTTATCATGATAGTAGCAACATTGTACAATACAATCATCATTGACAATTGCAAAGGCTCTTAACCCCTTATTTCAAATGGACCGACATGGATCTATTCCGTTGTGAAATGTGAAGTATTCCAGCATTATGTCAAGAGTATAGGAGTGCTAACCCATGGACTATTGAGCTCAGATGGATATGTCATCACTGGAATTCCTAGTGGTTCATTGACAGGCTCAAAAAGTTCGTCCTGGCTAGCATAGTCTATCAGATCTGGAAAGCTAGAAACGAGGCTATTTTCAAGAATGTTCCTGCTGCTACTAATAGAATCCTTCCAACTATTGTTGATACTGTTAGGCTTGTCGGAGCCTCATGGAGGAAAGTTCCACTTGTAAAAGTGAATTGGGATTTGGTTGTTGAATAGGGTAAAGCAAAGAGATGTTTTGAAAGTAGGCTGTTGGGAAAGGGGTACCGGTACAGGCACATAATATCAGAGTTAGCCCAGGACAAATTTATCTTTTTCCAAATACCAGTTAAAATAGGAACAAACCAAATCATCAAGTAATAGTACCATTAGTGATAATAAAATGCAAGAAAAATAAAAGACACAGGACACCAAGATTTTTACGTGAAAAATCCAAATTGAAAAAAATCACAGGATCTAGTCCAGTCAAAAATCTCCACTATCACAATAATGGGAATACACAAGTTTACCCGAAATATTCGGATGACAATAATATTGCCAGTATCAACCAAGCAAATCTGCTACAAAATCATCCCAAAAACTACAACTAACAAATAAGTGGGTTTGGAAAGATGTTACCAAACGAAGAGAAAATCTGAAATATGAACAGGTAGATGAGTAGAGCTTGACGAGAGGATCGCGTGTGTGAAATTTTGTCTCAATCGAACTTGAAATCACCTTCCAACTGAGGCTTCAAAGTTGCAAAGAATTTTCTCTCTCTAGCTCGCACTCTTTCTCTCTCTTCATCTCTCTCAAAGGCGGCTGACACTTTTTCTCGCACGAAGACTAATTGCATCTTGCGGCTGCTACTTGTATTTAAGATTGAGAAACCCTCAAGCGTTGCTTACTTGCACAGATGGATTGGCCCACAAATGGGCTAGCCCATACACAAGTCCAACAATCTCCCCCTCCAGCTCATTTGGGGAGCTCCACCAGACCTGCTTCTTGTCTACAAAACAAGAGTTTCTCCTTAGACAATACCTTGGTAAACATATTAGCACCATTATCATTTGTATGCACCTTCTCAAGTGTCAGTAACTTGGAATCCAATACTTTCTGAATCCAATGATATCTCACATCAATGTGTTTGGACCGAGAGTGAAATGTATAGTTCTTACACAAATGAATAGCACTCTGACTGTCACAATAAAGATTATACTTCTCTTGTTTCATACCCAACTCTTGAAGGAATTTCTGCAACCAAAGAGTCTTCTTGCATGCTTTAATGGTTGCAATATACTCTGCCTCCGTACTAGAAAGGGCGATACACTTTTGTAACTTACTTTACCATGACACTGCTCCCCCTGCAAAAATCATCAAGTACCTAAATGTGGACTTCCTATTATCAAGATCACCTGCCATATCTGCATCAGTGTATCCATCTAACATAGTTTTACCATAGCCGAAACATAGACACAATCTAGAAGTTCCCTTGAGATACCTGAGAATCCATTTGATAGCATTCCAATACTTCTTACCGGGATTAGAGAGATACCGACTGACTACTCCAACAGCATGAGCAATATCTGGTCTGGTGCAAATCATGGCATACATCAAACTACCAACAGCCAAGGCATAAGGAACTTTCTTCATGTTTTCTTTATCTTTTTCATTTGTAGGACACTGCTTGATGTTCAGTTTAAAGTAACCCGCAAGTAGAGTAGAGACTTTTTTAGCCTTACTTATGTTAAACCTGTTGAGTGCTTTTTCAATGTATTTTTTTTAAACAACCAAAGCTTCCCATTTTGCCTGTGTCGTGAGATTTTCAATCCCAATCCTTCATTGCAAAGGATTTACTTAACTCCTCTTTTAGCCTGTTAATCTTCACAGTATCACGACCAACAATCAATATGTCATCAATATATAGCAGAAGAATAATAAAATCACCATTTGAAAAATTTTTCACATAAACATAGTGATCAGATGTAGTCCTGTGGTACTCATGGTCTATCATGGAGGAGTCAAACTTCTTATACCACTGTCTCGGTGCCTGTTTCAACCCATACAAACTCTTTTTGAGACGACATACAAGATTTTCCTTGCCACTTTCTTTGAACCCTCCGGTTGTTCCATGTAGATCTTCTCTTCCAAGTCGCCATGCAGGAAGGCGGTCTTCACATCAACTCGTTCGATCTCCAGATTCAAACTGGTTGCAATACCAAGAACAACTCGAATTGATAACATTTTTACCACATGAGAGAATATTTTTTCAAAATCTACACCCTTCTTTTGACTAAATCCCTTCACAACCAATCTTACTTTACACTTTGGTTGTGAGCTGTACTCCTGAGTTTTCAACCTGTAGACCCATTTGTTCTTTAGACCTCTCTTACCCTTAAGCATTTTCACTAACTTATAAGTGTGATTCTCATGCAGGGACATCATCTCCTCTTGCATGGCTCGCAACCAATCTTCTTTATTCTCATGCTCTAGAGCCTCACCGTAGGACTCTAGCTCTCCTCCATCTGTCAACAACACATATTCATGAGAATTATATCTGTTAGAAGGTTTCTTCTCTCTGGTAGATCTCCTAAACTCATCCTGTGGTGATGGTGGTGGAGCAGGTGGTGTCTCATGCTCAGGTTCATCAGCAGTAGGATTATTACCATCATCAATATCCTCTCTCTGCTCTGTCTCAGCGCCCCCTTGATTAAAATTAATAGGTATTGGAACTAGGGCTGCAAACGAATCGAGCCGCTCGCGAGCGGCTCGAGTCAAGCTCGAGTCGAGCTCGAGATTAATCGAGGTCGAGCTCAGAATATTAAGCTCGTTAGCTCGCGAGCCGGCTCGCGAGCTTGAGTATATATATTTATATATATTTTTTATTTTTATTTTTATTTAATAATAAAATTACGTATATTATATATAAATATATTTTAATTTTTTATTTTCATAGTGAAATTACGTATATATCCTTAATATTTTATTATTTATTCAGAAAAAAATATTATTTTTTTATTTTTTTAAAAATAAAATAATTTTTTTTTATTTTTTTCGAGCTCGAGCTCGGCTCGACTTGATTCGAGTCGAGCTCGAGCTCGAAAATTGCCAGCTCGTCGAGCTCGAGCTCGAGCTCGAGCTTGGTAAAATTTAGTTGAGGCTCGGCTCGATTAGCTCAAAACTCGACTCGGCTCGGCTCGTTTGCAGCCCTAATTGGAACTGAATTTGGATCTGAATTTGAACCAGCAGGAATGTCATATGAAGATTTTGGATTGTCACATTTATCAATGTCTTCAATAGTTTGATTTTCAAAGAAGACAACATCTCTGCTTCTGATCACCTTTTTCTCAATAGGATCATACAGTCTATAACCAAAATCTTCATGTCCATAGCCAAAGAAAATGCACTGCTTTGATTTTATATCAAGTTTTGATCTTTCATCTTTGGGGATATGAACAAATGCCCGACAATCAAAAACTCTCAAGTACTTACTAGATATATCTTTTCCCGTCCATACTCTCTCTGGGATGCCACCATCTAGAAGAACTGATGAAGAAAGATTAATTGAATTGACCGTAGTTCTCATTGTCTCATCCCAAAAGGATTTTGGCAACTTAGCATTAGAGAGCATACATCTGACCCGTTCAGTGATGGATCTATTCATTCTCTCTGCTACTCCATTCTTTTGAGGAGTTTTTGGCATAGTTTTCTCCAATCT